AGAAGAGCCAGGCGAGATGGCGCACGCCTGTAATTCCATCACTCGGGAGGCTGAGGCAGGAGGACCTTTGTGAGTTCGAGACCAGCCTGAGCTACAAAGTGAGCTCAAGGCCAGCCTGAACTGCATAGCCAGACCCTGTCTCAAAAAGACTGCGGGAAGGAGAGGAGGCAGTTTCAGTAGCAAGAAACAGATCAAGGCCCGCTCAGGAATAAAGTGGTCAGTGAGAGGAATGGAGGTACACACCACACAATGAGAGACTGTCCTGGGACTCTGGGAGCAGAGAACTGCGTGGCAGATTAACACTCAACATGGAAGAATGGAAGAATGTTTCACCTGTCTCCTGCGAATTGAAGGGCGCTCTAATAGGCAGTTGGAGATGAAGATGATACAGTGTCCCTTTATGTTACCACTGACAAAAGTTTAACAAACTCACTTTTTTTTTTTTTTTTTTTTTGGTCTTTTTGAGACAGGGTCTCACTATGCAGTTCAGGCTGACCTTGAGCTCACTTTGTAACCCAGGCTGGTCTCGAACTTGCAGGGATCCTCCTGCCTCAGCCTCCTGAGTGCTGGGATTACAGGCATGTGCCACCATGCCCAGCCAAACTCACATTTTAAATCCACATAAAAGTAAAAATAACCCTTTGGGTGAAGACCTTTTGCAGGGCAATACAGAACGGCACCAAGCTTCCAGACACTGTCACGAACCTTCAGGGCTCCCTTAACCATCCGGAGCGTGGTATTCTCCAGCTAAAGAAGCCTGGCACTGGAGCGCCGCGGCTGCGCATGTGCAAGCACCCTGTGGCCGGCGCGTCCCGGGGCCCGCCGTCGCCGCGCTCCGCAGGACCCAGGACCCAGCTCGGAACCCACCTTCACCGGGGCGCTCTGGACCAGCGGCCTCCCGTCGCAGGCCTTCTGGGCTCTGCGGGCATCTCTGGCGGAGTAAAACTTGACGACAGCGTAGAAACCGGGCCGGGCCACCGCGGCGTTGGGCAGAACGCGGACCGAGTGCAGGAGGCCGAAGCGGGACAGCGCTGTGGACAGAGACCGCTGCGGCGGCCCGGCGCGGGGAGGAGCTGAGCCCCCGGCGCCCCCGCGGACCCATCGCCGCGCTCCCTCGCCAGG